CCGACTCTTGAACATGCCGTCCTCGTGCAACCATAGAAAGGGAGAGCCATAGGCAGAGAACGAATAGAATCGGCGGTGGACAAACCTCCCTTTAGTAAACCTCCCTTTAGCGAAAACTGCCTGGGACCAAAACCGACGGACCTGGGCCCGCGAAAATGACGGCCGCGACGTCCTCTCGCGAACCGAAAACGGCTAATTCGCTCATCGACGTGTCAGGGTAGGAGGTCTGCCCACCCCCGACCACAAACAGGGAGAGCCAGAGGCAGAGAACGCAGAGAACCTCCCCCGGGGCCACCAGGCGAGCCTCGGCCACGACGAGGCCCCCCGCCCTCCGCGAAGCCGAGGAACGGCCCGGACGCCGGGGCCCCGCGCGAGCGCGAGACGACCCCTGCTCCAGTGCCCTGGCCATATCTGGTGGGCCTGCTTTCCACCACCACCACCACCATAAGTTGGGGGGAGGGGGTCCTCCTGCTCCTCCTCCTCCTCCTCCTCCTCCTCCTCCTCCTCCTCCTCCTCCTCCTCCTCCTCTCCTCCTCCTCCTCATCATCATCATCATCATCATCATCATCATCATCCATCATCATCATCATCATCATCATCATCATCATCATCATCATCATCATCATCATCATCATCATCATCATCATCATCATCATCATCATCATCATCATCATCATCATCATCTCATCATCATCATCATCATCATCATCATCATCATCATCATCATCATCATCATCATCATCATCATCATCATCATCATCATCATCATCATCATCATCATCATCATCATCATCATCATCCTCGTCCTCTTCGTCCTCCTCCTCGTCCTACTCCCCCTTCCCCCCTTCCCCCCTCCAACTCATGGTGGTGGTGGTGGAAAACAGGCCCATCATTATTCGGGCTCGGGCGCCGTGAGCCCGATGCTCGGGAAGGGCAACACGATGCTCAGGAGGGGCAAGAACGCACAGACACGCGGCGCGCCTCGCCAACGAAGGAGGTCCCCCACCCCCGACCCCCCGATCCGAGAAACGGCCCACGTTCCGGTGCCTTGGCTGGATTTAGGGGGAGCTCCCGAGCGAAGTGAACCCCACCCTCCCCCTCAGAAATCGTAGGGGGGTAGGGGTAGGGTTCGCATGTGGCCTCCTATGGATTCGCGCTCGTAGAAGAAGAAGAAAAAAACACAGAATCAGAAACTGTTGGCGCTCCACGCGGATGTCTTGGATCTGCGCTGGACCCCCCTCCCCGCCGCGCGGAGCGCGCCGGGGGCGGCGCCGGAGTCGCCGCCAGGGGGCCCAGCAAGGATCCAAGAAATCCGCGCGAAGCGCCAAAAATGTATGTTTGTGTGACTCTTTTTTCGAAGATTCGCGCGCGGGCGCCGTCCCGCAGCCCGGCGACCCAAACCCCCGGATGCGAGTGGCGCTCCCCGCCCTTGGCTGTACGCTTACGTCGGGCATAGCCCCCTACAGGCGGATTCTGGGCGATAAAAAAAACTCAAACATGGTTCCAAAATCGTCCCCAGACTACTTTTGGAATGTTTTTGGATTTTCCCCCTGCAGAGGAACAGGCCCGACTGAACTGTACGCCCCCGTTGCCGCCCCCTGGTGGCCTGGCGGGTCGGACCTGCCCAGCGGATCGGACCGGTCCAGCACGTCGGGCCGGTGCAGCAGGTCGGGCTGGCCCAGCGGATCGGGCCGGCCCCGCAGGTCTGGCTGCTCCGGCGCATCGGACTGGTCCAACGCGCTGGGGCTGCCCAGCTGATCCGACTGGCCAGGCGGCGCCGCCGCGGAGGCGCGGGCGCGCGAAAAAAGGGCCGCAGCAGCCCAGGGGATCACTGTGGCGCCGCGGCCGCGGCGGCGCATGGTATTCGCGCGAGGGCGGACGCGAACCCGCGCCGGGCCTACGCGAACTCATGCGGCTTGAGCCAAAGCACCGCGGCGGCCTTTCGCTGGGCCTGCGCCGGGCCTCCTACCTCTCCCTCATCCAAGCATGCAGGCAAAGGCAATGCATCCGGAAGGACGCGTCGGCTGAAGGCGGAGGAGGAAGGAGGAAGGGGAGAGATGACAGATGACGCAAACCAGAGGGATGCACAGACGTATTATGCCGTTGTGCACACTTCAGCTGCCTAGTGTTGCCGGGGCCGACCAAGACGACGACGACGAACAGCCCGATTTCTGGGCGCACCATTGTCTTGACATACTATTTACCTCACAAGCGCATGATTTCTGCTGGTCGCGATTTTCTCGTTCAGCTTCTCTTGACTGTCACGTAGAAGGTCTGACAGAGGTGTCTCCTGCGCTTGACTCCAAACCTCCACGTTGCTCACTCTGGACGAATGGGGATGCAATATCCGAAGGATCTTGCGCAAACACCAGCAACGAAAGGATTATACGCGGCTTTTGACGGCTTCCAGCAACCAATAGTACACACTTTGCTGACCACGCAACTTGAATATATATATATATGTATATACATATATATATATATATATATGCTTGTATATATATATATATATATATATATATATTGCGGCGCTTCCGATTTGAAGTGTGAGACCATAGCTTCTGCAGCAAATTGAAAATGCTTCTACCTTCCCCAAATCTTCGAAAGAGTTCGTTCCTGGCTTCCCCGTCGCAAAATACATAACCTCCCAAGTAGACGGCGTCCCTCACGTTCTTGATGGGTTCGCCTATGGGTCTTCTGACTTACCCGATTGAAGATACGTTCTTTGCAAAATGTTTCTCCCCGTCTGAAAAAAGGCAAAGCGGGCAGGGGGAGAAGGCAGGGAATAAAGACAGGAGGCATGTCACGACTGCAGAACGGTGGTCCGAGTATGAGCGGGCTCGACAAGCAACGCACGCTACGCAGTAAAAGCGGACAGACCAAGCTTGGGCGGTGAGCCAAGCAATCTGACCTGGATCAAGCAAGTGGAATGACCCAGCAGGCGAAAGCAAACCGTGCAACCGACACGCGCCGACAGACTTGTCCGGGCAAGCCGGTCCCAGCCTGCGACGCAGGGCTGCGCACCAGCCCGAGCGAGATGTCCCCAGAGAGCCACACGGGTCCCCGACGTGTCGAGGCAGCGGTTCGGCATGGTTGGGTTCGCCGTCGTGGGGCGCGTGCCCCACCGTCAGCACCTGAGGCTGTAAAAACAGAATCCAAGACAGAAAGGCGGATAGCTGCGCCGTGATGGTTGGCATCAGGCTGTGCAGCGCACGGAAGCCCATCATATCTCAAAATTGGGCCCGGATAGTCAATAACCTCAATAACCAACATTCGTGCACTCGAGACTGCGACTGGTGCGGCTTGGGTCAGCACCCGCGATCGAAGCATGCAATGTGACCAACCGCACTTGACGACAACGACGGGGACGCGGTGGCGGTGATGATAGTATGTATGATGACGATGGAGACGGTCACGGTGCCAATGACGATGCTGGCGATGGCGGCGGTGATGACGCGCATGATGAAGATGAAACTGATGGTGATGATGATGGTCATGATCATGCTGATGACCATAACGATCATGGCCATGATGATGGCCATGAACATGAACATGATGATGATGATGATGATGATGATGATGATGATGATGATGATGATGATGATGATGATGATGATGATGATGGTGATGATGATGGTGATGATGCTGATGCTGCTGCTGATGATCATGATGATGATGCTGATGCTGATGCTGATGCTGATGCTGATGCTGATGATGATGATGATGATGATGATGATTAGGATGATTATGATGATGAGAGCCGACCCCTTTTCAGGAGGAAAGCGACGCTGTCTAGACTGCGGAGAGTCCCTGGGCCACTCGGGCGCCCAGGAGTGGAACGCTTTCACAGATTTGAGACCGCTTTTTGTAACTGGATTGGCGAAGAGGGAAGAAGTGGGGCAGGATTACAAATGAGTGGCATTGGGCCAAACTTGAGCGCAAACAGTTAAAAAGTCTATATAGGTCACTACAAATGGTAGTATGTCGATACCAGGCCCCTTCAAATCCGCACACGCACACATATACTTGGCCCGTCTTCCGTGTAGGCGATATGTATGATATGATAGCGGCGCTGTCTAGACTGCGGCGTGGATCCCTAGGCCACTCCGGCGCCCAAAAATGGAAAACTTCCACAAACCAGAACCCAAAGAACCAAACGATCCAAATCGCGAAGAGATGTTACTACCTGGGTCCAGAGAAGCTGACAACAGGCTCGGGCTTGTTCCGTGAGGACCCGCCCTGGTCAGAGGAATGCCCCACGCCCAGGGCACGGGAAAGAGACTGCGACACTGAAATATTTGCAGGGAAGTGCACAGACAGGCGTCACCCTCAACAGCCTCGGCAGGCTTGGAACGCCACACGGATTCCAACGGTCGCGACATAAGGGAGCGCGGGATCCAGCGAAGGAGCAGCTGGCACACGGCGGAGCAAGAGAGGCGCCATTCACTTCGCGATCCGACACAAATGCTCGATACGACCAGCCTGTTTTGAAACTCGCCGAATCTGAAAACCGGATGCCCCGGATGATATAGGGATACGAACTCCATACACCGACGTTTCTTGTTCCGACCCTGCGCTGAAGTTCGCACAGGAACGCGTATCCTGGTGTATAAGGGATCCTGGTGTATACATTATGTTTCCCCGCGAAAACGGGGAAAAAGTATACACCAGACTACCCCGACGTCGTCCCCGACCCTCGAAAAGTCGTAGGATTGAAAAGCGGCCCGCCGCTGGTCATGTGTATGCTCAAGTATCCGAGGATATGAACCCCTGGTGCCCCCCCGTAAGTCTCCGGCGCAGATCCGTTCCAGCCGAAACACCTCGGTCGGCGGCGCGGGTGGCAGGGCCGAACCGTATCGTCCACCAGACCAAATACCGATCGCAGCTGATACCTCCTTATAGATATATCTATGTACACACAAAAACAAATAATAAGGGAGAAAACAAAAAAAAAAAAAAAAAAAAAAAAAACTGCCACCTCCTCATGATGAACAGCAGCAGCCACAAGTTTTCCCGCGCCCGCGCGCCCCACCTCCCACGGACGCAGAGCTCGAGCGCCCTGGCGCTGGGGGCGAAGGGGCCCCAGGACACACAAATAAATACACACAAATAAAACTACTCCTCATATCTTCCTATATCTTCTGGGCTTCTGTTTTCCCCTCCACACTTCCCATAGTCTCCCCTATTTTCCTGGGGATCGACCACTCATTGTGTCTCTGTGTGCTGTTTTCCCCTCCCGAGGGGGGAAAGCCGAAGTCGAGGCCCCTGGGCGGCGGCGCGCCCTGCGGCCTCGGCCGGCGCCGCGATGGGCCCGCGGAGGAAGCCGTTTCTCCGCACGTCCGGCCACCGCACATCCATGCAAGAGGAGGAGGAGGAGGAGGAGGAGGAGGAGGAGGAGGAGGAGGAGGAGGGGGAGGAGGGAGGGGGGGAGGGGAGCCCAATTCCCCATAGTTTCCCAGATGTTCTGGGTTTTCGTCTTTCCCCCCTTCCCATATTCTCCCCCTATATTCTGGGGAATCGACGATCAATCGTGTCTGTGTGTTTTTTGTTCCCATCCTGAAATAGGTTTCCGTCACCCCAATTATTGGGCTGCCGACCTTCGGGGCCACGAGAACGCCATCCTTCGGGGCCACCAAAACAGATATCAAAAAGATGCAGAAATAGGTTGTCGGAGCTTCGGTTTGGTTTCCTGGTTGGCGCAAGACCTGACCAATGTATTTCTGACACCCCGTGCATATCCGCGCATCCCCCCACGCCGCGACCTGCCTCGCCGATCTTTAATTACAGCCCCCCCGAAGCCCTGTATTTGGCTATGCCCGTCCCAGGGGCGCTCGGCGATCCCAATCGACCGCCACGGGAACCTCAGTTCGGACGGCCCGGGCCACGCCGCCGCTGCCTGAGAACAGGACCAACGGGGCGTCTCCTTTCTGAGGCAGCTGCCGGAAGACGGCCCTGGCGCCGAGGACGCGCGACGCGACCTGCGTCGCGCGATCCCTGAAGAAGCGCTGCCGGTCCTCGGAGCTATCGCTCATAGAATGGTCAAGGCGGCCATGCTTCTCGCATCGCACCGGGAAAGTAGTCGAAACCCGATCCGACGCAGCGTTAGCAGGCTCTTACGCCAATCCCAGCTTGGGCCCGCGTGCCTCGTGGCACGGCACGATTCTGTTTCCGCTAAATTCGGCGCCCGCTCGATGGATGGACCTCAGCACGCGTAGTAGTCGAGCTTCCAGAGCGGCTGGCCCGGAAAACGAAGACGGGCCCCCTGGAACATTGTTTCATGACGCGCAGTACGGGGCGTCCCACAGCAGGTTGTCCTCTAACAAAACGATGCGATCGGCCGACTTTCGTCGGCCCTGAAGCGCAACGTACCAAGCGGCCCTCTTCAAGGGCCTACGCGGCATCTCTGGAAACTCAACCATATCCTCCATAGACCGCCGACATTATCCTCAAAGCTCTCGAGGCCCGCCGGCGCCAAAACCCGTTCGACATGCGATACGCGGACCTCGGAGACGCGGCCGTGGCGGACCGCATCCCCAGGCCCCCACCATGCTGCGCGGCCCCCCAGGCCGCGCTCGCCGGCGTCGCCGGCGCTGACCACCCGGCCCCAAGACAACTCCCAGGACCAGGAGGCGGGCGCCACCCGCATGAAGCCCAAGGAAACCCTGACCTTGGCCCTGAGGGACAGCCAGGGCGGGGCGAGCCCGTCAACGCGGGCCTGCACGAGCTTGCACCCAGCGGGCAACGCCAAGATGGCCTGCCTCACGAACAGGCCCACACACGCACAAAGGCTCACAGAAACTTCGATCACGCGGGCGGGCGCCTCCAGCCAAGCCCGCAGCCACCGCGGCCCAGCGCGCGCGCCCCCTCCCTACTCGCTGCCTGATTATCAGAGTAAGGGGGCTAAACCGAACGGTCATTCACTGTCCCTGGGTGCGTGGCTGAAGTGGAATTCCGCGATGCGGATTCTCGTTGTTGTTGTTGTTGTTGGTGTGGTTGTTGGTTGGTGTTGTTGGTTGCTGCTGTTGTTGTTGGTGTTGTTGCCGTTGCTGTTGTTGTTGTTGTTGTTGTTGGTGTTGTTGCTGTTGTTGTGGTTGTAATTGCTGTTGTTTGTTGTTTGTTGTTGGTTGTTTGTTGTTTGTTTGTTGTTTGTTGTTTGTTGATTGTTGATTGTTATTTACTGTTGTCGTCGTCCCACCCGCGACCCGCCCCGCGACCCACCCGCAACCCACCCCGCGACCACCCCGTGACCCACCCGCGACCCACCCCGCGATCCACCCGCGACCCACCCCGCGACCCACCCGCGACCCACCCGCGGCCCACCCGCGACCCACCCCGCGACCCGCCCGCAACCCACAACGATACCCCCCCGGCGACCCACCCGCGACCCACCCGCGACCTACCCGCGACCCACCCGCGACCCACCCCGCGACCCACCCGCGACCCACCCGCGGCCCACCCGCGACCCACCGCGACCCACCCGCGACCCATCCGCGACCCACCCCGCGACCCGCCCAAAATTTTCGGCGCCTGCGGCGGGTTTTTTTTGCATTCGTTCCAAGTGGAGAACCTAGAACCCAAACCGCGCCCGCGACCCACCCGCGACCCACCCCGCGACCCACCCAAAATGTTCGTCGCCTGCGGCGGGTTTCTTTTGCATTTGTTCCAAATGGAGAACCAGCGACCCACCTGCGACCCCAACCGCGTTCAGTGTACAAATCAAAATGTTCGGCGCCTGCGGCGGGCTGCTTTTGAATCCGTTCCAGGTGGAATGGGAGAGCCCGCGACCCACCCGCGACCCAAACTACGTTCACTGACCACGCCCGCGACCCACCCACCCCTAGCGCGCGCGTGCGCTCCGCGGAGGAGGGGAGGAGGAGCAGGGCGAGGAGCAGCAGGAGGCACACGACGACGACGACGAGTACGAGGACGAAGAGGAGGTCGACGACGAGGGCGAGGAAGAAAAGGAGGGGGGGACGGAGGGGGGCGACGAGAAAGGAGGGAGGCGGAGGGGGAGGAGGAGGAGGAGGAGGACGACGACGACGACGGAACGGAGGCGGGGGGAGGATCGGGATGGGGGAGGAAGAGGAGGAGGAGGAGGAGGAGGACGAGGAGGAGGACTTAGATGATGCTAACTTTCTCGATGCAACCCGAGCTGCAGACGAGCTACAGAGCTGTTTGGCACAGCAATCGAAATGAAATCATCAGAAGGGCTAATCTCGAGTATCTAGATGCCCGAACCCGGTCTGCTACCAGAGCTGTGTTCGAACAACTATTCGTTCTCTGCTAGTGCTTTAAAAGGTTAGGATGACTTCCGTGGGATAACTCCAGCTGCAGATGAGCTACAGAGCTGTTTGGCATAGCAATCGAAAAGAAAGCATCAGAAGCGCTAGTCTCAAGTATCTAGATGCCCGAAGTCGGTCTGCTTCCAGAGTTGGAACCAAAAAACTATTCGAAATCTCAGTATTGTTTTCAGAAGTCACGAGGCCTTTCTTGATGTAACTCGAACTGGACATGAGATTAGAGCTGTTCGGCACAGCAAGTGGACGAAGATCATCAGGAGCGTTTGACATCGGTCTGCTACCAGAGCTGGAAAAAAAACAACTGTTCGTACTCCTGCTCCTCGTCCTCTTCCTTCTCCTTCTTCTCCTCCTCTTCCCTCTTCATCTGCTCCTGCTCCTTTTTTTCTCCTCCTGCTCCTTCTCTTCCTTCTTCTCCTCATCTTGCTCCTCTCCATCATCATCATCGTCTCTCTTCTCCCTCTCCACCCTGTCCCCTCCTGCTCGTCATCCTCCTCTTCCTCCTCCCCCTCATCCTCCTCCGCCTGCTCCTTTTCCCCCCCCTCCTTCTCTTCATCAGCCTCCTCCATCTGCTTCTCCAATCAGTAATCAGTCCTTCTTCTCTTCCATGCCCCCCCCCATGAAACCGCGCCCTCGCGCGCGCGGAATGCGAGACTGCCGCGCCCGCATTCCATTCATGCACATCGAGGAAGCTCTACGAGTTCCCGGCGGTAGCCAGGGTTGACGGTTCACCGCTGGCCTACAGTTGGCACAACAATCTCGACGGAAGCGTTGCATAATTATGCTCGGTCTTTTTTCGATTTCTCAAAATACCTCCCAGGGCTCTTCGGCACTGATGAGCTGGAGGGATTCCGGCGGGGGGTGCAGCTAGTACCTCGCAGAGCTCTTCGGCATCGACGAGCTAGAGGAATTCCGGCGCGGGGCGAAGCTAGCGATTCGCACAGCTTCCCTCAGAGCGAAGCGGCGAAGCTAGAGAGTGACTCGCAGAGCTTCCCTAAGAGCGAAGCGGCGAAGCTAGAGAGTAATTCCGGCGCGCCGGGGGGCTAGTTGGCAAAAAAAACTCGACGGAAATCCCGTCTTTTTTTTTGACATATTTAAATCGCATTATTCGAAGTCGTTAGAACTGTAGTATGTTTACCTCAGGTTCGATCTTATTTCCGCTCGCCATCTTAATCCAAAGTCGATCGGGTACATACTACTGCCAAAAAGCATGTGAGCGGGATCGGCTGTTGAGTGTCATCTAGACAAGTATTATCGGTTTTTTTTCTGAACCTAAATCGAGCTGTAGAAGAGCTACAGAGCCGGCAGGCACGCCTAATCTATCTAGAATCATCGGGCGCGCTAGTCTCAAGTAACTCGATGTCCGAACTTTGTCTGCTACCAGAGCTGGGTCCGAAAAAACTATTCGTACCCTGCTAATTCATTTGGAGATGATGATGAGTTTCTTGATATAACTCGAGCTCGTTCAGCAATCGGAAGAAAGTCATCAGTGGGGCTAGTCTCAAGCATCCTGATGCCCGAACTCGGTCTGCTACCAGAGCTGGGTCCGAAAAACTATTCGCAATCTGCTACTTTTTTGGAGATATTCAAGAGTTTCTTGATGTAACTCGAGCTTCATATTAGCTACAGAGCTGTTTGGCACAGCAATCGGAAGGAAGTGATTAGAAGTCCCAAGTATCTAGATGCCCGAACCCGTTCTGCTACCCGAGCTTGGTCCCAAAAACTATTCGCATTCTCATACTTTTCTAGAAGTGATGATGAGTTCCTTCAGGTAAGTCAAGCTGCAGATGAGCTACAGATCTGTTTGGCACAGCAACCAGAAGGAAACCATCAGAAGCGCGAGTCTCGAGTGTCTAGATGCCCCAACTCGGTCTGCTACCAGAGCTGGGTTCGAAAAACTGTGTGTATTCGACTGATTCTTGCTGAGAGATTATGATGCTTTGTTTGCGAGAACTCATCGTGCAGATGAGCTACAGAGCTGCTTGGCCCAGCAATCGGATGGAAATCATCAGAAGCGCTAGTCTCAAGTATCTACATGCCCGCACCCGGTTTGCTTCCAGAGTTGCAACCAAAAAAACGATTCGTAATCTCAATAATGTTTTCAGAGGTCACGAGGCCTTTCTTGATGTAACTCGAACTGCACATGAGATTAGAGCTGTTCGGCACAGCAATTGGACGAAGATCAGCAGGATCGCTCGTTGCAAGTATCTACATGCTAGAAATCGGTTTGCCACCAGAGCTGGAACCAAAACACTATTCGCACTCCTGCTCCTCGTCCTCTTCCTGTTCCTCCTTCTCCTCCTCCTCCTCCTTCTTCATCTGCTCCTTCTCCTCTTTCTCCTCCTACTCCTTCTCTTCCTCCTCCTCCTCCTCCTCCTCCTCATCTCACCCCTCTTCATCAAGATCATCGCCCCTCTTCTCCCTCCCCACCCTTCCCCCTCCTGCTCGTCGTCCTGCTCTTCCTCCTCTCCCCCCTCCTTCTCCTCCGTCTGCCCCTTTTTTTTCCTCCTCCTTCTCTCCCTCAGCCTCATCCATCCCCTTCTCCTCCTCACTCGATCTTCTCCTCCACGTTTTCCCCGATGAAACCTCGCCCTCGCGCACGGAATGCGAGATTGCCGCGCCCGCATTCAATTCATGTATATCGAAGAAGCTCTACGAGTTCCCAGCGGCAACCAAGGTTGACGGTTTTTTTGCGGTTTGCGGTCCGACCACAGGGCCCTACAAGGGCGGTCGGGTTGGTGCAGCCATCCCCTGTGGGCTGGATGTACCCTGAAAAAACGTGATACTCTTGAAGTATCTTGCAAGCAGAGCGGGCAAGTCTCGAAGCGGCCTCACGCTCACACTGGGTAACCGTCGCATCGGGAAGCAGGCCAAAAGCCTCCTCCGCCAACGGACGGGTAAACGTGCGCAGGCAATCACTAACCCCTTCCCCAGATTGCTCACTGATGAACTCACCGTCTAGCCACCACCCTCCTCCAGCACCAGCACTGCTAACGCCACCGTCGTACGAACCACGGATTGCGATCAATGTTTCAGTATTGTTTATCTGTTGTTGAATGCTTCTGTACCTCGATTGTAATGGTAGATGTCTGATTTCCCAAGTCAGTCTGTCGGCACGGCCGTTGCCTTCACGATCGTGATGACGCCACAAGTCATATCCTGTGGCTGGGCCCTGCAGCTTAAAATTTCGACGGGCATCGTCTAACAGATCAATACCCCCCACACCTGCGATCGGTATATATTGTTGTTGCAATTCCACCTTCCCATCATCCAGTTGGCTATCAGCATGGAGTCGCCTAACAGCTCCATCGCAACTCCGCCTCGTCGCCCGAAGCGGACCTCATTTTCAAAGTTTGCTGCGAGGCGCCTGGCAATACGATCAAGCGACGTCTGTGTATACTGATTGTCCTCCTCCTCCTCCTCTCTGTGTATATGACCCCCCTCCTCCTTAAAGATAAAGCCCTCCGACATATGTGAAAATCCCGCCGCACACAGTCGGGCCGTAGCAAACTCGCGAAAACCA